TGTTCCTTAGAACAGAACTTCAAAGTCTTAATAAGAGTAATTCCTGATACATAACATTTTCAATATAATCAGTGTATGACTGATAGAAATTTATTCTTATAAATCAAGCCTTTAAATACTTAAGACTACCACTATAGGAACTACAGATTGAAGGGAAAATGTTAAGAAATATTTCTTAAATTTAGGAACAAAAGAAATAAGTTTATAATCTATTGCCAGGATGAAAACATATCAAGCTAGAAACAATATATACAGTGTAATTTTTTATTTGAAAACGAAAGTGGGTCAGAAGGAGGAAAAAAGAGAAAAGTGTACTTAAACCCACCTAGTGGGAATACAGGTAATTTTTATCCTTTTATTTCAATTTGCATTCAGTGATTTTTTTATTTTTTGCTTTTATTGTTTTCGGGGTTTTTTTCTAAATTTTTAAAAATAATTTCAGATTTGCTGAAAAGTTATAAGAACAATACAAACCCACCCTTTCCTCTTCATCTCTATTTCCCAATTTTTTACATTTATCCTCTCATTTCTTTTATATACATATATATGGAGTTTTTTCCAAATCATTTGAAAGCAAATTTCCACTTGACCCCAAAAAACTTCACTGTACATTAATTGATTATCTGGTCAACAGAACTTAGTCAGTTAGAACTTGTCCCAATATCTTTTATTGCAAAAAAAGAAAAAACTAAAGTCAGGCACAGTGGTATGTGTCTATTTCCAGCTATTTTGCTGAGGCAGGAGGATCACAAGTTTGAGATCAGCCTCCGCAATTTGGCCAGACCCTGTCTTAAAATTAAAAAGAAGGTCTGGGGTCTAGCTCAGTGATAGAGCACACCTGGCTTCAATCCCCAGTGCTGCAAAAATAAAAATAAATAAACTCCTTTAAAATGAAAGGGAAAAAGTTCTGATTCAGGTTTCTATGTTTGCTTTTTAACTCCACAGTTCCTCTTAAACATATTTAGTCAAGGCTGAGATGTCCATACCTAGCTGGAAGATTAGCTAAACAGCTCAGTTGTAGAGTTGCAGAGCATGCACTTAGCAAAGCCCTAGGTTCAGTCCCCAGCATTGGATATGCAAAATATTTTTTATCTATAAGGGAAAATGCTTCTTTCTCCCCTATTCATTCATTCATTTATTATATCAGTATGAATTCATTGATTCCCATTTTATTCAATGAATAAATAAATAAATAATAATTAATAAATAAATAAATTCAATCTGTTACTATCATTTGATTTATTTTGATCTCCAGTTCTCCTAGATTTAACCAATGCAATTTGTTCTTAATTTGTAATTTCTTACAAGTTTTTTTACAATATAAAGTGAGTATATATAGATTTTTGTATTTACAAGAGGGAAAGCTACTTTTTTGTTGGGGGGGTGGTACTGGGGATTGAACCCAGGGGCACTTGACCACTGAGCCACATCCCCAGCTGTGTTTTTTTATTTTATTTTATTTTAGTTAAAGACAGGGTCTCACTGAGTTGCTTATCATCTCACTTTTGCTGAGGCTGGCTTTGAACTTGCGATCCTCCTGCCTCAGCCTCCCAAACCACTGAGATTACAGGCACGCACCCACACTTGGCTGGAAAGCTACTTCTTAAAAATGGGAATTGATGAGTCTTGTACAAATTCTTGTAAAACAAGAAAGTTCGTATGATAATATAATAACATCTTTGGCACTAAAATGATTCCTAAGGTTACTTCAAACATTAAAATGTTATGACTCTAAGAATATGTTTAAATTTTTCACATTAAAATATTTATACTTTTTTTTTTTACTTTGCAGACTTAATAGAAGAAATGTGACATTAGACCCTGAATTTAGGCTCTGGCTAAGTTCAAAGACAGACAGTTCTTTCCCAGCCCCCATCCTTCAAAAGAGTATCAAGGTAAAAACAAAATATAACCTATTTTAATATTGTAAGTCATCATGCTTTCATTACTCTGAGTTAAGAAGAAGAGTACTACTTCCAGAATGCTGAGTGTCTGCTTTGTACTTTGCCTTGTGCTAAGGACAGGAGGGGAGCTAAAGTAGTAGATGAGATCTCTGCTTTCAAATAATTCACAATTTGGATTTTTTTTCAAAAAAAGATGTTAGGCTTCCAATTATTATAAGTTAAAATATACAATTTTTGACTTTTACTTGTCCTTTGTAAGTTGCTTAGCACCTCGCTTTTGCTGAGGCTGGCTTTGAACTCTTGATCCTTTTTCAAATTTCTATTCCACTTATGGAATTTTCATTTCTTTTCTGGAAAGTTCTAGCAGACAGCAGACTGAGGCTATTTACCAAAAAACTCTAAAAGGATATTGGAAACTTCTATTCATATCCCCCCCAATACTGAGGTTGAGTAAATACTAAGACATAGTCAATTCTGTTAACCAAGGTTCCAGGTGACCAAAAGAGGAGAACGAGACCTAATAGCAGAGAAACTGACCAATGGCATAAGCAGAGTGCTATGCTAGACTCATGTCTGCACACACTTCTGACTTTAACAGAATTGGGGTGGGATGGAGGACATGAGGGGCATGAGGTGCTTCCTCATAAAGACCCAACTAGTATGAGAAAAAATTAGATTCACTCTTGAAATTAGAAGTTTCTCCCTGTCACACTCTTCCCCAGCTCTTTCCCATCTCCTGTGTACTCTTACCCAGAACCGCTTCCCAATACTCTTGCCCCCAGAGCAGGCTTCAGAATATGGATTGGAGAAATCCAACATCTCCCATTTGACTTAGGATATTCCATTTGTCTCCCAGGGTCTGGCAGATTATGACCTTAAACTACCTTTATCCTTTGACCAGGAGTTGGGAGTGTTGGCAGGGACAGTAGAGGTAGCAAATGCAGGGAATTAAAGGATACCAGAGAGGAACAGAGAGTTTCTGGAGGTCTTTTATTTTAATTAGGACTGTTGCTCTGATTCTACTGTAAGATCCCAATAGTTTTAATTACTGCATATGTAAAATTGTATGGGATTTTGTCATATGCCATTATCCATACAGACAGAGATGGCAACTTTCTTAATACATAAATAAGAGTACCTACAAATAATTAAGGAAAACACTAATAGCTCATAAAAATGAGCAAAAGATATAGGAGGTCAGTAACCATGAAAAAAGTAAAAAAGTTCAGCCTCTACACATCAGAGAAACACAGATCAAAATGACAAGATACCAATGAGACAGCCCATCAAATTAACAAAAATTAAGGATGGTTATGATATCATTAGTGCTATTAAGGGCACTAAATAACCATTCTCATACAATGCTGACAATGTAGGATCAAAAAGAGATTAAGCCATTAAACTAGAGGGAATTTTTATATATTGAAAAGACAGAATTCTAAAATTTCTTATAATTTGATGAAGTGATCTACTTCTAGTAAAGGGTCAAATATATTATGGTGCATCTATGTGATAAAATAAAATGCTGTCACAGAAATCAAATTCCCCCTACCATCACACTCCCTTCATCCCCTTCCCCTCTCCTTTTCTCCTCTTTCACTTTCCCTTCACTTATAATTCTTAAGGGGTGGGCAGAAACCTGCTTTAGAGACACGAGAAGGAGTTTCTCAAAAGAATCAGTCACGGCAGTCATCAAACAACACTCTGAATATTTTCTCATTTCTACACATTCAGGATTTTTCTGAACAAAGATCACTGGCAACCTGCATTCAAGGATGCTTGAAAGGCAAATATGCCTGGGAAGATAAAGAATATCTCATCCACTGTGCACTTCCCACACTTCCAGATCCATTTGCTCATGTTCTAAGGGAAATAGATGTAAAGAAGCCTGTCTTCTCTCTCTCTCCTGAAGCCATTGCCTTGCATTGTAAGGATAATGAAACCCAAAGCCATTTGCTTACACTCCAGGCTATAAAAACCTAGAAACCTGTCTCTTCCCCAGAAAGAATTTGTTTACATTCCAAAGCAAAAGTCTATCTATCACCCCTGAAGGGGAAGAGATGCTACAATACCAGCCATTCTATAAAAACTTCAAGTTACAAAGTTTCAGATTCTCTCCCATAGTACAAACCCCACTCTACACACACGATATATTTGCATGTGGCCCTCAGTACATAACCTGTGGGATACCGGCAGGGAAATGATATGAGCCATTCTGTGAGTAAATAATCAATTTGATCCTTGATTCAGAAGTTTCATGTCCACACACATATGTGTGTGTATATTTATATATATATATACACATGTGTGTACATGTATGTATATATATACATATATGCATATACACTCAGTTTTATATGACGTATACATATCCACGCAATTATTGTTCATGTTATGTATAATAAACATAATGCAATTTTTATTTGCTGATGAATATGGAAAATAGTTCCATTCATAGCTTGGGTGTGTGTGTGTGTGTGTGTATATATATATATATATATAAACTGTGTAAGTCAGGTAACACTTCAGACCCTTCAGTTTCAGAATTAAAAAACAGACTCTCAAAAACACCTCTAATTGATTCCCTCTCCACCTCACCCAGTCTCTCATCATTTCAATCATTCTGGTTAAAAAAATCAACCAAATGATTCTAAATGTAATCAAAACAATTTAGTAACACCAAATCTGTTGCTCTCATTTTTCATATGTGTACTGAAGGACACTTTTGGCAGTTAATCCTGTGATTTGACACCCACTGCATCTGCAGCTATCGCCCCTAGCTGCCATCCATGTGTAGGTTTACACTGCAGGAACCCTTCATTGTCAAACATTCTAAAATGCTGTTCCCCAAACCCTATGCTTAAGCAAACAGAAGTGTTTTTAATAACAATGCTGTACTCCTCATTTTAAAATGTGAACTGGAACAATGTAGAAACTCTGGAACAAGCCTATTACAGAAATTTTCAAATGGCAAAAGAATAAACAGTATTTTTTATTTGCCAGTGAATGTTGAAAAGAGTTACATACTTAGCTCTCATACCAGTGCTATACAAAAAAGCCCAGTGCCTGCTTCTCTATTCACATGGCATTTTCATTCCCATCTGCTTTAAAGATTGCCATGGAACCTATCCAGGGACTGAAAAGCAATTTGCTTCAAATGTTTGGTGGAAGTGGAGAGGTGACAGAAGAGATATTTGAAAACCCCAACTGTGGACAATGGTGGAAAAAACTATTATTCAGCCTATGTTTTTTCAATGCTGTGATCAATGAAAGAAAAAATTATGGTACATGGGGCTGGAATATTGCTTATAAATTTATTTCTTCAGACTTGGAGGTAAGTGAGGTCTCTTCAGAACCAACAATAACAAATGAATAACAATAAGATACAAGCTGAGAGCCTACTGTGTGTCTCCATATGTACTCAGTGTCCCACACAGTGGTAAGAAACAAACCCTGTAACTAGGCAAAAAAAGCTAATGTTTAAAAACAGATTCTGAAGCCAGCATTTCTGGAATCAAATTATAGCCCCACCCCTTACAGCCGTACAAGTATTTAATCTGTTGGGCAGGGTAATTAACCCTTCTGGGTCTTAGATTCCTTGGTGAAATAAAGCAGAGCAGGAGGGGAATAAATGTCCTACCCACTGTACAGGGCCCCTAGAAGATGCAAACTAGTTAACAGAAGGAAGCACAGAGAACTGTGCCTGACCCACATAAAGTCACCCTAAAAATGTTTGTCAGGGGGCTGGGGAGGTGGCTCAAGCGGTAGCGCGCTCGCCTAGCATGCGTGCGGCCCAGGTTCGATCCTCAGCAGCACCATATACCAACAAAGATGTTGTGTCCGCCGAGAACTAAGAAAAAATAAATAAATGTTAAAATTCTCTCTCTCTCTCTCTGTCCCTCTCTCTCACTCTCTCTTTAAAAAAAAAATGTTTGTCAGTATTTCTTATTCAAATAAAGTAAAAGAGAGATTGTTACAATGACTCATTTTGGGAAGGGAGCTTAGCTTAATACCCTCTATAGAACCTCCTATGTGCTTTATTGCAGTGTGTTTACTTCATCATTAAAGTAGACAGGTAGTAGCCCCGTTTAAATGTTTCCCAAGTTAATTTTCTCACAACTATGCTTTCAGCACAGACCATTGCACCCTTGACTACCCATTCATTTATACATTAGAGCAGATTTTAAAACTTTTCTGGGAAAATCTGGATCACCTTCTCTGTGTCTTCATCAGGCTTTTCTGGGTTTTGTGTTTTGTTGTCGTTAATGTTTTATTATATTGTGTTTTGTTTTGAGCCCAGCATATTGCTGCAGGCTCAACTGCCAAAGTAGATGTTTCTGTGCCTAATCAGGCATATAATATAAAAGAGCTACACTTTGGAGATCTGTCAAGGAATATGAACTCACACACATTTCTGTCCAGACATATTCAAAGCTTAGGCAAGACAAACAATACATTAGGAAATATTTGTGCCATATATTAGACACTTTGGTACATAGATAATTGATATATTCTTTTTATTTGAAAAAAGGAAATGAATTCAAGGAAAAGAAAAGTAATCTTTAGTAGAAACAATATGTGTTTTTTTTTTTATTGTTATCTTCAGTGCTAGAAATTGAACCCAAAACCTTGTATATGCTAGGCAAGCACTCTACCACTAAGCATACCCCCAAGCCATTATGTCTTTAATTAAACAAAGAAAATAAATAACACCTTGATCAAACCATCAAAATTAAGAGGGAGGAAGTTAAACAATAAAATAAAATAAGTCATAGCATAAAACAACACGAAAGGAATATTATCAGTCATTTTATTAAATGAACTGCATTCCCTCATTAAAAGACAAGAATATTGGTTACTAGACCCAATGTATGCTATGTATAATAAATATACTTGATAAACAAACCTTGAAACTACCAAAAAAAGAAACAGAAATTTTAAAAAGCAGGAATGGCGATATGAATGAGTCAAAGTGGACTTTAAGCTGAAAAAGCACCAAAGAGAATGAGCTGGGGGTGTAGCTCAGTGGTAGAGAACTTGCCCAGCATGTGTGAGCTTCTGGGTTCCAGCCCCAGCACCACCAAGGGGAGAATAAAGACAGCACCAAATAGGTGAAAGAAAGAAAGAATTTTTAAAGAATATTTAACAGTCACAAAATTGTTAAGAGTGCTTTCTTTTAATAGAAGGAGCACTTTATGGAGTAATTAAACCTCACAATCATTTAAAGAATATAGTATTAGCCTTATTTTATAGTTGAAATATAGAATTATGAAGCACATAATTTAAACAAAGATGGTCTGAAAGTTTGTGTTCTCAGGCTGGGGTTGTGGTTCAGTGGTGGAGCACTTGTCTAGCATGTTTGAGGCACAGGGTTCGATTCTCAGAACCACATACAAAAAATGAATAAAATAAAGGTTCATTAACAACTAAAAAAAATTTTTTTTAAAGTTTGGGTTCTTGATCATTATGTTAAATATCTGTACATCCATCAGACAATAGAATAATATTTTTTCAATGAAAAGGGAAATCACAAAATACTTCGAATACAATGAGAGACAACTCCATATTTAAAAAGGACATGACAGTAAAAAGGCTATAGTTGTGAAAAAATAGGGCCTTAAATGTCTTCATTATTAAAAAAAGAAATATGTTAAATTAATACTCATCTTAAGAAGTAGATAATACTAAGGAAATAAAGAATAAAACCAATATTAATGAAGTATACTAAAATAGTAGAAGGAAAAAATTCAAATTTTAATTTTTGATCCAATGAGATTTTAAAATTTCAATGAAGTCATTGATTTCCTAAAAAATATGAATGATCCAAATTGGAAATTTTCAATCAACCAATTGCCATTAAAGACATTCAGAAGACACCTCAAGGAGACACCTCACAGCTTAGTTTACTCTGAACTGTAACCGATGGCATTAATGCTATTTAATCAAAATACACTCTACTGTCGTGTATATCTAAAAAAATTAAAAATAAAAAAATGCATTAAGATGAATAAATAAAATAAAGTATTACAGACCTTAGAAAAAGATGACAATCTCCCAATTCCTTTTATGAAACCAACAGAAAGGTAATAGTATATATAAGAACCATAGACTAATTTTATTTAGAACTTGAAATGTAAAAATTCTCTATAAAGTATTCATAGATTTCAATTATGAATCAAAAGAATAATGTACTATGATAAGTTGAGATTAGTCTAGGAATGTAAGAATGACTCAATATCTGGAGATCTATAATCCTAATTTATATGACAAACAGATGTAAAAAAGTTACTGTGAATTTTGGAGCCATTTCTAATAAAAACTCTGAAGTGTTAGGATTAAAGGAACTATTTAAATATGACAAAGACTATCAAAACAACAGTGAATATTATTCTAAATAGTGAAACACAAAAAATTGTTTCAAATAAAATCTAGAATCAGACAAGGATTCACATTATTACCTTTATCATTCAATGTTACCTTACAAGTTCTAGGACATGCATTGAGATGAGAAAAGAAAATTCGAAACCCAGAATCATAAAAGTAGGAATATTTGATTATAAAAACTTTTATATGAAAAATGGTGAGCAAGTAGTCAATAGACAAATAACACTTAGGATAATAGTTGCAATGCAGATTACTGACAAAGGGTTACTATCTATAATATAAAAGAACTCTTACATATTAGCAAGAAAAAGACAAACATTCGAAAGGAAAAATAGGCAATGTACAGAAAATTTTAAAGACCAGCTGACATAAGAGAAGAAGCTCAAGAAATCCAGCACCAGGTAAAATACAAAATAAACTAACAGAAATTTTTTACCTAATAGACTGGCAAAAAAAAAAATTTAATTAGTTGTCCTTCAATGTCATCAGGATGAATTGGTTCCAGGAATCCCCTCAAACGCTAAAATCTGAGGATGCTTATTGTTTCTTATACTATAAAATAATGTAATATTTGCACAAAACCTACAAACATGCATATTCCTCTCTCTCTCTCTCTCTCTCTCTCTCTCTCTCTCTCTCTCTCTCT